GTTATGATATATTGATAGGTGCACACAATTTCCAAAACCCTCAATTTGATTGAGATAAATTTCTGCATCTATATTTTGATAGCTTGAAGCCAAGAGTTTGATCCAAAAGACCCCTAATTTCCAAAAGATATTTGGAATGATTCTGCAGCTAAATTTGCAATGTCTCTGTCCTATATTTTACTCTGGAATTGTGAAGATGCTCACAGGGTTGCTGATGAGGAATTCCTTCTCTCTACATGATTGAGTTCTTTGGTTTTGCCTTCGTGTTTTCACATGCGATTAACCTACTCTTATTAAGGGTGGTTTAAATGAGTTAGGTGATGATGTGTAATATTAATGCAGGTGGCAAAATTTGAGTGGCTATTTGGATATAATGGACCTAATTAACCTGAGCTAAGTTTTGTCCGAGAAGATGGGGCAATGAAAGGAAGCTCACCTAAGCGGATAATGACCAAAGGTGAGACGGATTCACCCAAGCACATGCACGGGTGGGCGTGGGCGCAAGCTTACAAAGAATTGAAAAGACAGTGGTTGGAGGATTTGAAGAAGCGAGACTGAAAAGAAGAGGGTTTTTTTTTATTTTTTACACATAAATCTTACTTAAAAAAAACTAACAACCAAGTAGCAAGAAAGTTTTAAAATAAATCATTCCCACATTGTTGGGAGATTTTATGACAAAAATTTTGTATAAAAACATAAGTAATTGGTTACGAGACAATCGTTAAAAATAATGGCTAACATCAAGTAGTAATACCATCTGTTCATATTTGTGTTGTTCTAACTCATTTAAAACATAAGTAATTCCCTCGCCTCCCCTCCCCTTCCCTCCATTTCCCTCATACCAAACCAACCCTTAGATGAGATATTAAAATCAAGCCTGATATTAATATATTTGTGTTGTTCTAACTGATGAATTATTACTAGCTTCTATTTTTAATGTAAAAGTTAGATATAAAAATTTATAAACATTAAGAAAATTAATTAAATTAGTTCTTTATAACAAATGTATATTAGTTTTTCTAAAGGAACAATTTCAGTTAAGTCCCACAATTTTGTCTCAAGATATTCTGAAAATTCAATTTCGTCTCTCTGACACAAAATGAAATTAAATAAACAAATAAAAAGACCATTTAACTTGTAAAATAGATAATGCACAACTCCACATACAAAAATTTACAACAACAAATAGAAAAATAACAACTCTTTACACAAAAAATTACAATTAGGAATAGAAGATATAAAACTCCATATGTAAAAATTTATAACAAAGAATAGACAAATAACAACTAAACATATGGTCATTTACAATCATAAATAGAAAAGTAACAACTATATATATAAAAATTTATTTTTTGCTAATGATCTTATTCTGTTTGCAAGGTGAATCTTGAATAAGCATGCCTTATTAAGGCTTGTTTGGATGATTTTTGTCTAGCCTCGGGGAGAAAGTCAACAATTCTAAATCGAGAATCTTCTTTTCTAAAATGTTAATCATATCAAAAGGGAAGAAATTAGCAAATTTCTGGATTCACTCCTATAGCTGATTTAGGCAAATATCTTGGGGTTCCTATTCATCATAAAAGGGTAACCAAACAATCCTATCAATATGTCCTTGATGAAATGGATCGAAGCCTTTTGAGTTGGAAAGCGAATAATCCATCAATGGCAGGCCGGCATTGTTGTGTACATGAGTGGGTGTGTCAAAAGCAAAGTCCCACATTGCCCAGGAGAGAGAGAACTCAAGTGTATAAATACTATCTCACATTATTGGGTTAGTAAATGGGCTAGAGGAGAAGGAGGGTCTCGCGCACACAACAACAGCCCACCAGGAGGGAAACGCAATTGAAAACTGGCATACTCTTGGAGGGCCTGTCGGGATTTGTAAGGAAATTGATAAAAATGCCAGAGCTTTCTTTGGTGTAGTTCTAACTCATCCAAAAAGATGCATCAAACAGCCTGGGATGATGAGGAGGGACACTTGGGTGGGATTTGACGTGCGTAGAGATGCTTTATGGGTGCAATTCTTGAGGAAAAAATACAAATGGGGGAACGATGTATTGCCAAAAATCGAGGGAATGAAGAGCGAATCTCAAACATGGAAGGGTATCAAATCTACCTGGGACTCTACTAAAAGCGATATTGGATGGAAATTAAGTAATGGATCTAAAGTACACTTTTGGGATGATGCTTGGCTTCCCAACTATAATCTGCTTGCTTCATATGTGACAAACCATCCTGATGAATTTATGCATAGCGCCAAAGTGGCGGACTACTTGTTGGCTTCGGGTGATTGGGATTGGGATTGAGATAAGTTCGCTGGTTTTTTACCCCTTACTGTTTTAAATGTGATCAGGCGCATCTACCCTTTGGATCAGATGGCTGGAAGGACACCCCTAGGTGGGCCGAGTCGAGTAATGGTGAATTCTCGGTGCAATCGGCTTATAACCTATGCAGAAGAGAGGCCGCCCCAAACAAAGGTGTGTGGTGGAAGATATGGAAGCTACGTGTGCCTCAAAGATGTAAAAACTAAAGGGAAAATTTCAGTTAAGTTCCACAATGTGGACTTGATAAATTATTTTCAGTCTCAACAAATTCTGAAAATTCAATTCAGTCTCTCTAACACAAAATGAAATTAAATAAACAAGTAAAAAAACCATTTAGCCCGTAAAATAGATAATGCATAACTCCACATACAAATATTTACAACAACAGACAAAATAACAACTCTTTATACAAAAAGTTACAACTAGGAATGGAAGATGTATAACTCCACATGAAAAAATTTATAAAAAAGAATGGACAAATAACAACTAAGCATATGGTCATTTACAATCATAAATAGAAAATTAACAACTATACATATGAAAATTTATAACAAACAGTATAAAAAACATAAATGTATGATCTTTTACAACAAATAAAAGAAAAATAACAATCATAAATATGAAAATTTACAACAAAAAAATAGAAACATAATAACTCTACATATGGAATAAAGCCTATCAAATGTTTTCTACAAATTTTAAGGGCTAAATGGTCTTTTTACTTGTTTATTTAATTTTATTTTAGGTTAGAGTGATGAATTGAATTTTCAGAATCTTTTGGGACTGAAAATTTGTTAAGTCCCCATTGTTGGACTTGGCTAAAATTTTCCCTTTTCTATAAATACATTTGCAACCATGTGCTTGTAACCTTTGAATGAAAGTGCTTAACAAGGCTTTGACTACTAAGTTTTCTTTATTCAAGAGAAATTGCTCATCGTCTGATCTTTGTCCAATTTGTGGTTTGTAATCTGAAACAATTGAGCATCTAATACTACTCTGTTCCTGGGTGAAAAAAATGCCGGCTTGGTTGTGCTTTACCATTAACAAATTGACAATGCTCAAGTTTCCACCATCATTGAATGGTTTCAAGATCTGTTTTTTATAACAACAGGTCAGGTTAGGAGCAAAGACCTTTAGTTGCTGCCATTTGTTGGGTATTTTGAAGACACGATGTGATTGGGTTTTTAAAGAGGAAAGGATTGACTCTGATCATGCACTCAGTATTGCCACTGCCTTGGGGAATGAAAGCTCTACGACTCCTGGAAAACCTTCTGGTTGCAGACTTGGAAGTCAATGGCAATAGAAGAACTGAGGATGATGCCAAAAATCCAAGTGAAATTTATTTTGCTTCTGATCGTTTGATGTTAATGTCTACTACTATCTCCGATTCTAATTATAAGACCCCATTTGTCTGCAGACCCACTAAAAAAAAGAAAGAAAGAAAATAACAGAACAAGACTAAGATCTAAAAAATTACAAATAAGGTCTTATAATTAAGACTGGAAGTATATTATTGAGATAGAAATGGTGTTGGCCAGTTTTTTAGGCCTTAGTTTTGTTCTTTTATTTTCTTTCTTTCTTTTTTTCGGTGGGCCTGCAGAACTTTGTCTTTCTCCAAGCAAAGACAACAAACTACTAATGATCCATATGTCGCGTACATTGCTTTTATTCCATGTACATGATACGGTCCATGCTTTATTTCTTACCATTTTTAAAGTTGGTGCCATTTGTTTAGCTACATAGGCAGTTTACTTCATTCTATGCCTCATCCCTTCTTTAACATTACTTGATTTTACAACGCAAGGATTACAATCTTGTGATGGCCCCATCTTTTACATGTGAAAGTTAACATCTAGTTGCTTAGTCATCGTATTTGCTTGCCCCCGTGAAACCATCATGCCCACCTCATCTTTGTATTAAAGATTGGTTGAGTCAAAAATTCCAGCATTGCTTCGCATCATGTTGCTGGCTTGGCTCCTAATGATATTTCTGCATAACTTAGTGACGAGAAATTTTGTGGATAGAAAATGCCTACTGCACCCTCTTGGGGGAAATGGCACATTGGCACTTGGCAAATCAACGTAATGTCAATCAGGTCTTAAAAATTGTTTTGAAAAAATGAGTTGAGTAATTATTATGGGAATATCAATAGCAAATAAAATATTTAAATCAAATAAGTCACTTCCACTGATTTACAACTAAAATTCCCGTATTTATAATTGTTTGAATCCATATGTTATATAAAAGTAAGTATCAAGTATAGGATTATTTTCTTTGGGTAACAAAATATATGGTAATTCTGCGTGGGCACAGCCTCGTTTGTTGTCATCACTAGGAAAAGGAAAGGGTGAATGAAAGTTAAATCGTTTAAGTTTAATTTAGTCACACTTAGGTCCTCGGGAAAAGGAAAGAGCGAATGAAAGTCAGATCGTTGAAGTTTAATTTAGTCACAGTGAGGTCCTTAATATTTTCCGCACGAGGCTGTGCCCACCCAAAATTACCATATATTTTGTTACCCAGAGAAAATGATCCTATACTTGAACCTTATTTTCATATAATTATAGACAAGGAGTACCAAAAAAAAAAAAAGGCCCGCCACCCTTTTTCTCCTATTTTTCTTCATTGCAAACTCAAAGTCTAAATGAAAAGCTTAAGAGAGATTTAAGCATCATGACAGGCCATTCAAAAAGCACTGATCGGTAATAAGGCTGTTACTCACGAAGTTAAAAATGTAAAAAGCCTACCGAAAGAAGTTAAATGGAATTCCCTCCCTTAGCCAGGTGTAGTTAGTGAAAGATATTATGATCAAGATTCTCAGCCAACAAGAGGAAGAAATAATTGCATACTATGATAACAACTTGGAATACTGACATCCATCAAAACTAACAATGTAAAGACAGCATATATTCTTCCCACTGGTTTGTAGTAAAACTAGGCCACATGGCCACCAGCACATCACCATGAAATTCACTTGCGCGCTTCAGCCTTCTTTTGTTCTTTGGCTGAAACAGTCAACTTCGTTATCAGTTTCAGGTTTTTGACATCAAGAGATAAACAATCATTGATACTGAACAATGTTCAAAAACCTACCAGCTTTTTCTTCCTCTCGTTTTTTGGCAGCGTCTGCCCTTTGTTGACGTATAAGAGCCAAACGCTCTGTGTGAAATAGAAAGAAATAGTATTGAGATGAAAATGAAAAGCCCTCATCACATAAATGCTTAAACACCTAGGATATATTGCCCCTACAGCATTTTGTCATTCACAGTCAACAGGCAGTCTACAGGTCTACCCGAGTAATAGATTACATGTAAAGAAGGGGCATAATTATTAGAGATTATTTCAATAACTCCAAGTACCTAAATCTTTCCTTGCTTGTTCAGTTTTCCCTTGCTCTTGCAACCTCATATAACGTTCATGAGCTCTCTGTTTCTCCAGCTCCTCTCTGATAACAGGTGGTAAAATATCACATATATAAGGAAAACCTCCTAAAACAGATGTTTCACTTTCAAGCTTTTTCCAAATATAGAACTAAAAGAATTTAAATAAATGAAGGATCTGTTCTGCTTTGATAGTGAGGAATGTCATCTTCAAAAGTGTGTGATAAACACCCTTTTTAAACATCAATATAAACCAGAAGTAACAAACCTTTCTCGCCTTGAAAGCTCAGATGTCTTCCCCACCTGCTTCAGCAAGAAAGTAATGTTATTCTTCTATATACATTAATTACTACAAGATTTCTCCCTAAGAACCAAAAACTGACGTCAAACTCACATCAACGTCTTTAGCTTTCAGGCTCTTTGGCTTTACCAGATTAGGATTTTCAATCTCAATAATACCTTGGGTTCCTTTTGTCTTTTGCTGACATTACAAAGCAAACAGCCAGTCAATTGCATATCAAGTCGGGGAAACCACAGAAACAGAAAACATGTAGCGCTCTGTATTTGTAATTAATTGTAAAATACTTACCGTACTTCCCTCATCGGATTCTTCTTCAGATTCTTCCTCAGATGCTTCCTCAACTTCCTCCTCCTCTTCCTCTTTCTAATAAAGTAAAAGGAAATGACCATATTAAATAAAAATGAATTGTAAAAGATATGGAGAAAATGAGGATCAAGTAAAGACAAACCTTGCATAAAAAAAATGCAATTTTCTTAATAAAAAAATGCTATTAGGACTTCATACAGACAGAATAATCATTTAAGCAAGTGACTGTGTGTAAGTGCCTGTAAGAGAGAGGGAGAGAGAGAGGGAGGAGAAGAAAACCTTTCTAAAAGTCCGTGGACGGTTAGATGTACCAGCCGCTGCAATATTTAAACAAGTGGTTACAGTAGTTAATTATTCTGCCAGAGACATATCCTACCTTTTCTATCACTTTTTCTACTAAGGGGGAAGGGTGAAAAAGAAAATTACAACCAACAAGAAAATGTCCTTTGCCCTTCAGGTAAATTTCAAAACCAAAGAATCAACTCATAAGTTAACGAAAATTTCCCGTAATATTTTGATACAGGAACTATGGCAAGTAGCATATCACAAGAACAAAATAACGGGGCCGAAGGAATATTTTTTCCCAAATTTCATTCTTCTACTGAAATAGATTTAAAGAGAGTTGAATAAAGTAAATTTAAGAAGGGGAAGCAAAAGCAATTTTGGTACTAGTTTCCGCTATTGGTTCCCATTTACAGCATTTGACAGCCAGTTAATAATTGGCTTTGAGTATCTTAGCTGCTATTTTTCTCCGTTCCAAATCAGAAATTCCAATTTCCAGCCGCTTCGCCCCAATATTTTCCACTGTCAAAATTATTAACAATCTATTCCTACAGTTTATGTTTTCAGATACTAGTACATAATAAAGCATGCAGTTGATTTTTATTTTCTTGTTCATGCTCTTCTCCCAGTCTGTATTAGCCCAGATAATGGAATAAGCCAAAATAGGAACTCAATGACCCAGACCGAGGGTGTCAATCTCAGGAAAACGCTGGGGGTTTAGAATTTCTCTACAATAATCAATCATTTAGTTTATTTTTCTTCTATTAAGAATATCTTTTTTCCCCTTTTGGTTCGCCCAGATCGGGAGAAGTTAGTGCATCTTGTAGTTTCATGTCAAAGAATCAAACCAAACTCAAGCAATATATTTTGCCGCATACATAGGAAACTTAAACTATACAACACGCGCGCGCGGGGATCAGCCAACGATGTTTAAACAGATTTCGAGTTTGCAATCAATTCAGATCTAAGAAACAAAAAGCCAAATAAAATTTTATATCTCTATAAGAAAACGTGTGCCATCATGTTTCTTTACTACTTCTATTGGATGAACCACGAAATTCCTTCAGTCAACTCAATTTCGTTTGCTGCAGCAAGATGTAAGAATAAGGCGATAACAGAGTAAAGCGAATTCAACTCACATCATAATAACACGTATTCATCACAATTACACATTTCGCAAAGCCATTAGATTATACTGATGATGCGGAAGTGCCAAAACTCAAAATTCTATAGGGAATCAAAACCAAACGGACAGATTAGTAATGTTTACCAAGGTCTTCGGGCGTCGAGAACTGGCGGCGACCAGTGGGCTTGCTCTTGAATTTTCCCCTTCCCATCGTCTACAGAGCAAAGCAACACCAACGCTCAGAGGTCAGGAAGTAGGAGAAGCTCCGGCGCTTCGGAGAAATGGAATTGGCTTTTGCAGGTTCAATGGGTCAAAAGAGAGAAGGGGAAGAGGGGATTTATTTCCTTTTGTTCCAATCTCCTGAGGTTTCAAAAACCCTAGGCAGCAATTATCGGAATTTTTAGAATTTCCTTTTAAAATGCATGTTTGGGTCCTTGTAATTCGAAAAGTTCATATATTTTTCCTCATATTTTTAAATTCTTATACAGCTAATCCCTAAAATTTTCTAAAGTTTGTGTCTCAATTCCTTACTAAGGTGATAAATAATATTCCTTTCAATTCTAAATATAAGACTCATTTTGTAGTATATATTGATCTAACCAACCAACACTCCAAACAGTGATAAGGTTTTCTTTTGATGTAATTAAAAGTTTAGTTGAATTGATTTTGGACTTAGGTTCACGACATGCCTTTATATTTAAAAAGTTTTATAAAGATATTTATAAATTGCTCACCAATATCTTCTTTATATCAATAATAAGATTTATATAATTTCATAACTTATGAATCCACTCCTTACTAATCAAATCATGTCTAAGGGTCTGGGTGACACCCCAAACCATGGTTTGGGGACCCAAACCATGGTTTGGGGATTTAGTCACCCAAACACCCCCTCCAAAAACCAAAACCATGGTTTTGGAAAAAGCAAAATTTTTTTGCTTTTGGAGAAAAAAGGGAGAGTGTGAGGGCCTATATGATATGTATCTTGTTATTTTTTTTATAAACATATTTTTTATAAATATATTTAATCTTATATTTTATAAATATATATACACATTAATTATTTATTAATTATATTATCTTATGTATTATTAATTATGTTGGTAAAAAACATATTATTAACAATTTTATTCCTTCAAATTAAAATATATCATAAAATCTATTTTTTCTGTAATTATCATATTAACTCATGTCTTTTTTTTAGTAATTTGTATATATAAAAAGTGCTTTTGATAACAACTATCCAAACACTCTCACTTCTCAGAATCACTTTTTTACAAAATCTATTCTTCACAGAATCTATTTTCCCCAGAATCTATTCTCCAGAATCACTTTTCCAAACCACGGTTTGGTTTCATCCAAACACACCCTAAGCTGAATTAAAAAAGTGAAAGTCTTTTCCGGACAAGTTTCTACATTGTAGTTTGCAGAACTGCAGTGGGCTCGCCCATAAGCTCGTTTGCCTTTTTTTAATACCTTTTTTTAATTTTTAATAAAAAAATTTTGTCAGAAAAAAATGTCACTACATCCGGTTCTTAATATAAGAATTCATTTGATTTTTAATTTGATTCTAAATATAAGAGTCCAATCTACTTTGTCTTTCATATTTATCTATTTTTCAAAGTAGTCATTGTAACTAATACACATGATTAGCAAGGATATTCTAAGAAAGATAACACCTATTTATTACAAATAATTAATTTAACTAGTTTTTTTAATCTCTTCAAATCAGTCAACTAGATCTTATATTAAGAATATGAGGTATTATTATTTTAAACATAATTTAAATATAGCTTTACTTTATGTTAGGATATTTGTATTTATATATTATTGTTATACTGGTAGAATAATTATATAAAATAAATTATATGCTTATATTTATAAGTTTTAAGATTAATTTAATTATATACTGTTACAAAAATATAGAAACGATTTTATTTATAAAAATTTATAATTTAGTTCAAATTTTAAAAAATATTAAAAAAAATGATTGATTAATAGGTTGGTTTGTCAACCACTTATTAACGGATTTGGTTATTTCCAACATGGCAAGAGGCAGCAAATATAGCATATCTCAGTAGCTTATAACTCACAAGTCAGGAGTGAGCATTCAGTTTTCGGTTCGGTTATCGGTAATAACCGAATTAACCGAATAACCGAATAGAGTAAGTTTTAAACACCGAACCGAAACCGAATAACCAAACTAACCGAAACCGAATTAACCGAAAATTTCGGTTCGGTTAACCGATTAACCGAAATATATAAATATGAAAAATAATTTTAAATTAAAAATAATGAAACACAATTATAACCATTAATTAATAAATATTTCATCATTCAATGTGATTTATTATAATAATATTTATTATAATCATATTTATTGAATATAAATATATTTAAAAAGTTCACATATACCCACATATATATTTATTATAATAATATTTATTAAATATAAATATATAATATATTTATTTCGGTTATTCGGTTATAACCGAATTTTTTTTCTACTAACCGAACCGAACACCGAAACCGAATTATTTAAAAAATAAAAACCGAATATATAACCGAAAACCGAAATAACCGAACTGAAAAACCGAAATTAAATTCGGTTCGGTTCGGTTATCGGTTACGGTTCGGTTTTGCTCACCCCTACTCACAACCTGCAAATTCTTTTCTTTGTTTTTCGCAATTAAAAAGCACAATGACATTAATACTATGTTTGGTATAAGGTTTTTGGATGGAAAGGGAGGAAAGTTGATCCCCTCCACTTGTTTGGTTGGAAAATTTTTTAAGATGAGAGAGGGAGTTGCTCCATTCCCCTTGTTTGGTTAAATATTTTTTTAAGAGGGGAGGGGTTCTCTTTCCCTCTTTTTTTCTTCTTAGCCTTCCCTCCAAAAATAGGGTTTTTTGGAGGAGAAATAAGAGATAATATTTTACATTCCAAAATTAATCTGAATGAGATAATTTAATTCCTCTTTCCCTCTTAATTTTTTTTAATGCCCTAATCTGCTATAATTATGTGTGAAAGTCGACATAAAGCAACAACCATGGATATGGTATTTAGATCTTCTTCATTTTCTCATTAGGAGTAGTCTTATATCATGTTTGTCATATTTGAATTATTTTCTAATGTGGATAATATATTCGCTCGTGAATCTTTTTTCACATGGATTTTTTTATTTTGAAAATATAGATGTTTATTTTGATTGCAATACATATTGGTAGATAAGTTCAATCTATTTTTTTTAATTTATTTTTTAAGAAGGTTGGTTCAATTAAAAATATTATAATTCTTGTCATTTTTTAATTATTGTTCGAATAATAAGTAGTCATAAATAATTTGTATCATGACAAGTCAAAGTTAGTGAATTATATTATACATATTTATATCTTGACACACAAAAAAGTGAGAAAATTTATTTTAATTTTATAAAGTTAAAATAGTTAATTTTTAATTAGCTCCCCTCCCCTCGCATCCCTTTCCCTTCCAAACCAAACAAGGTATCATTAAAATTTCTTCTTTCCTCTTCTTTTCATAAAAATCTCCCCTCCCTCCCTCTTCCCTTCATAGTTACCCTCCTTTTTCTCTGCCTCTCCTCCTCTTTATTAAAATCTCTCCTCTCTCCTTCTCTATGTCGAATCCAACACAGTGTAAGAGAATTTTTGTTTAACAAAAAAAGGGCGTGAAAACGCACACTAGCCAACGGAAGTCTTTGACTGAAATCTTTTAATGGGCTAGAGAATCAGCAAACGATTAGCTTTTCTTGATTTGAGATTAAATGCAACAGACCAGTTACCCCATTAGAAACTAACAAATTGGTTTGATTTGGCTATTTACTTCTCTGATCTTATTTATAAATTACTTTCAATATGTTTTATATAGATTATGAAAAATTTTAAACTTCAGCAACTCTCATTTAAAATTCAACAACTCTCTAGTTTTATTCTTATTTAATATATATTATATATCATGCAAACAAAATCAACACAGTAATAAATAATAAGTAAAATTATATTTCCATACAAAAAAATTTTAATGTCTTATAAATAAAACTAAAAAATATCTTTTTTCTCTGCGTCGTGATAAGATAATATTAGGAGAAATTAATATTTATAATATGAAGACATGAACCAACAAGGTCATGAACCTGCCGACGCGGAAAGTAGAATGATGATGTCTCCCATCATCTTTTGACCAGCCATATGTCTCACGTCATCTATAATTTACTCCCCACATAAAAAGCCATGTTTTGACGAATATGGAGACTCGAGATTGTCTATTTGGTATTCACCCCCTCGGATTTATTTTTCCACTCACGTTCATGGACATTATTTACCACGTGAGTCATATGAATTGCAAATTTATACCTTTAAAATGGGGCATCTCATTTATACTGGGAGATTGAAAATATAAGAAATCATTCCCTCATTTCTATATTTTTTTAGTCTGTTACTTGGTTTATTGTATAGACATCAGTTGGAAACTTTAAAGCACTTCTAAATTTTTTAGGTGCTTGTTTTTGGAGCTACTTAATATAAACATTTATAAATACTTTCGTGTATAAAATTTTTTTCATATACTTACCTTGTATCTATAAATCATGTTTAAAAAGTCAAGATAAAATTTTTCTTGCACGTTTATCTCAATTTACTATGGATCAACGAGGCCTTTCCCTTTTTAATTTCGCATCAACTTCACTTAGGACCATTGCCACTGCCTCCAATGATATGACGTGCCTGGATGCTAAACTTCTTCAAGCCTAAATTCTCCCATAATCAACTTTTGCACTGTTAAAAAAATAGCAAATTTCTTTTAAAGTACAAGTTGATTATTCTTGAACACTTGCAGAACCAAAAACATGGTTTTCATCTGGCTCTTTTTACCTTTTAGATATGTTTGGATTAGATATGGCAGAAGTTATTTTTTTCCAATATAATTTTTACAAAAATCAGTTAATATAATATGATTTATGTTTAAATTGATTTTTATAAAAAAATTAGTTTAACAAATTGAAACTTGTTTGAATAAGTAATGAAAAAAGTAAGTTTAAATATAAAAATAACAAAAAAAATGAGTTTTATAACATTCTATTAGGTATATTACAAACGAGGTCTTATAATTAGTACCAGAAGTGGTATATCTTATCTATATAATTTGATAAATTTAATAAAAATAATAAATTAAAATACAAAGTTAATATATTATTAGGAAAATTTGTAAGTATTAAAAATCATTTAATTAGATGTATTCAGCAATAAACATAAAAATATTGAAGATATAAAATTGTTATTAAAAAATTTTAAGTACTAAGAAACACTTAGTTAGATATATTTAATGTGATTTTTGCGCACATATTTATTGAATATTATTTTATTTTTCACATCTTAGAGCCCAATTAAAGATTAATGATGAAGATTGATTGGGCTTAAAATGAATCCTCAGAATTTTAGTAAACCCTCACAACAGCAAATTAATATCAGTCAACCCTAAAAAAATTTTAAAATTTTAGTCCACCCCCTTAACCAAAATAAAATTAAAATTTAAGATTTTAAATGTTTCTTATAAAAAGGATGGAGGAAGTAATAATTTTGCTTCTCTTACTGCATTAGTTGTCCTCCATTTTTGTCATATCTTGATAATTTTAACCCTGAGAATGAGGAAAATAAAATAAATTGAGGGCCAGTTGATAGAGAGGATATAGATGACCCAACTTTTGTACTAAGACCTGTGCAGTGTCTAGACTAATATTTTTAAAATATCAGATAAAGAAAGAACTAGTTGGAAAGCTAGGAAAGAAATTTCCAAAAATTTCTAAAATATCATAAAAATAGAATTAAAGGCTTAGAACATTTGTTAACAGGAGGAAAATAATTTAAATATTAAATTTTCTTTATTTTTAGGATTTTTTGGGTTACTAGGTAATGGTAGTCAAAATTAATTATTTAAATTATTTAGAGGCCTCAATAATTCTAAAAAAATAAGGAAAAATTATTTGGAAGATTATCATAATTTATAAAATTGTTTTCCACATTAGAAGGTAAAAAAGTTAGCTTTAATAATATTTAAAGCTTAATTTTTGTTGGTAGAACACCGATTCTGAAAGAATTGGAATTTAAAAAAATATAGGGTGAAATAAATTCTAAAAAAATCATATAACTTTTTTACATAAAAAGCAGAGTCTTGGGATATTGAGATGAATTTTTAGAGATACTGGTTTAGATAAAGTACAGGAAAAATTCATCCGACTAAGCATCGAAACTCAGGAGAATGAAAGGGTACTTGGGAAAGTGGATTTTTCCCCAAATCCTTCCATTTTCACACCAATTTGGCCATGGAATATGGAAGAGAATTAAAGAAAATAAAATAGAAATAAAGGTTCTAGAAGGTGATTAATCAAGAGGATTAAGGAGGTTAACTAAGGATTAATCTAATTAATCTTGGATGACATAACCTTATGATATAAGCACCATGAATTCACCCTCTTACATGGAAAGATCACAAGCCTCCTAGCTTAAGATTTGTCCATGTGTTATGGAGAGAAAAATGGAGTGTTGAGATTTAGCCACATAACTCTTGTAATTTCATGAAGTGGTGAAACTTCAAGGTTTAAGAGTTAATAGAAGCATTATAAATACCTGTCCCTCCCTTTCATAATTCAGCCAACACAGGGACTTTGGAGAGGGATTGTTGCTCTTGGGTTCTAGAGAGAGAAAGAAAGAAAGAGAAAAGAGAAAAAGCAAGAGGTGATTATCCAAGCCCAAGTATTTAATCAAGGTATTAAAAGCATAATTACATTGATTAGAATTAATTACCTTGATTAATGAATGATTAGGATTTAATCTTGATGAGGTTAAATGACTTAAACTTAAGACTACTATGTTGCCTTAATCACTATATGGTTTGATAAGCATGATTAGAGATTAGGTTAAAGATTAGCGGATAAAGATTGATTGGGAATATATGATTATGCATGAATTAAGGAAGAACTCCAAGACCATAATTAAGCTCATGTATACTATTCGCCCAAGATAGAAAAATATGCTAGGGTTTGATTCAAGTTGATTTGATGCTTCCAATGAGTTTAGGAGGTAAAATTATATAAGATTAAGTTGAGAACATTTCTTTGGAAGAATTAAAAATTGAAAATAGAATTTTGAAGTTAAACCCTACCCTATTCGACCAACATGGAAAACATGAGAAGGAAATGAATTTTGATAAATCTAAGTTGAAATATAGAATCTATATAGAAAATTATGTCAGAAAAGACCAAGGGATTCAATGAATCAAAGTTAGAAATAATAACCCAAAAATCAAAGAAAAAGAGTTAAGGGTATATTGATAATTTAAATTGGATAGGTTAGTAATGTATGATGCCTTAATGTTTTACCAACAGGCTTTGCATCAAAGGAGGAGGAGATTGGCAAGAAAGGAACTTGAAAACAAGAAGTTAAACTCATCAAGAGGTAGCAAGCATTTACAATTTCTATGTTGACTTGCATTGTATATAGAGCTAGGAATACAAAAACATGAGAAGGAAATAAATTTTGATAAATCTAAGTTGAAATATATAATTTATATGGAAAATTATGTAAGAAAAGACCAAGGGATTCAATGAATCAAAGTTAGAAACAATAACCCAAAAATCAAAGAAAAAGAGTTAAGGGTATGTTGATAATTTAAATTGGATAGGTTAGTAATGTATGATGCCTTAATGTTTTTACCAATACGCTTTGCATCAAAGGAGGAGGAGAATTGGCAAGGAAGGAACTTGAAAACAAGAAGTTAAACTCATCAAGAGGTAGCAAGCATTTGCAATTTCTATGTTGACTTGCATTGTATATAGGGCTAGGAATACAAGTGAGCCCGTGAGTTATAGGCTAGCCTGTCACAACCTGCGAGTTATGCGATGTGAGTTGGAATCAAAACCAAAAGGACAGATTAGTAATGTTTACCAAGGTCTTCGGGCGTAGAGAACTGGCGGCGGCCAGTGGGCTTGCTCTTGAATTTTCCCCTTCCCATCGTCTACAGAGCAAAGCAACACCAACGCTCAGAGGTCAGGAAGTAGGAGAAGCTCCGGCACTTCGGAGAAATGGAATTGGCTTTTTCAGGTTCAAGGGGTCAAAAGAGAGAAGGGGATTTATTTCCCTTTGTTCCAATCTCCTGAGGTTTCAAAAACCCTAGGCAGCAGTTATCGGATTTTTAAGTTCCTTTTAAAATACATACCACTTGCAATAATAATTAAATCTATAAATCTGTATTAGTTTGGGTCCTTGTAATTCAAAAAGTTCATATGTTTTTCCTCATATTTTTTAATTCTTGTACAGTTAATCCCTAAAATTTCTAAGGTTTGCACCTCAATTCCTTACTAAGGTGATAATATAGATGGATCCAACCAACCAACATTTCAAACGGTGGTAGGTTTTCCTTTTTTATATATATAATTAAAAGTTAAGGTGACTTGAAATTGGGACCTTAAAGTCACGGCATATCTCGAGATTTAAAAAATATTTATAAATATATTTACAAATTGCTTACTAATAAAGTTTTCATATCAACAGTAAGATTCTTACAATTTTGTGAGTTATAAGTAAAATTCTTAGTAAAGCTTAAAATCCCGTTTTGAATAGCTTATAAGTAGTCTATAAGTAGCTTTTCAATAGTGATTTACGGAATACAAGATAAATATATGAGAAGAGTTTATCTAGATTTACATAAAATATGCTTATAGAGAATTTTTTTAAGCCCTCCCAAACAAGCCATAAGTTGAATTCAATAAGTAAGAGTTTGTTTCAACACAAGTTGCCACGCATCTGGTTTGCAGAATTGTAGCAGGCTCGGCAGGAAGTTGGTTTGCCTAATGTCATTATTTTCAACACAATTTAAATGTAGCTCCACTTTATGTCAGGATTTTTTATTTATATATTATATTTTTACTGATAGAATAATTATATAAAATATGCTGGTCAAAAAAAATTATATAAAATAAATTATATGCTTATATTTGTAAGTTTTGAGATTAATTTAATTATATACTGTTACAAAAATATAGAAACAATTTAATTTATAAAAATTTATAATTTAATTCAAATTTTAAAAAATATTTAAAAATGCTTGATTAATAGGTTGGTTTGTCAACCACTTATTAACGGATTTGGTTATTTCCAATATGTCAAGAAGCAGCAAATATGGCATATCTCACTAGCTCATAACTCTCAACCTGCAAATTCTTTTCTTTGTTTTTCTTAATTACAAAGCAAAATGATATTAAGAGAATTTTTGTTTAACCAAAAAGGGCGTGGAAACGCACACTAACGGACTAACCAACGCAAGTCTTTGACTGAAATCTTTTAATGAGCTGGAGAATCAGCAAACGATTAGCTTTTCTTGACATGGGATTAAAAGGCTGTTTGAATAAAACCAAATCATGGTTTGGAGAATAGTTTTGAAAAATAGATTCTTGAGAAAATAGATTTTGTGAAAAAGTGATTCTGATAAAATGAGAGTGTTTTGATAGTTTTTATCAAAATCACTTTTTATATGTACAAATTACTAAAAAAGACATAAGTTAATATGATAATTACATAAAAGATAGATTTTATAATATATTTGAATTTGAAGAAATAAATTTGTTGATAATATATTTTTTACTAACATAATTAATACTCCCTCCGTTCCGTTTTATAAGATACAATTAACTAAATCACATTATTCAAAAAATTAGTTAAAATTAGTTAGGTGCAATAAATATGTAAAGAGTGTAACATTTTTGCCAACAATACCCTCATTTATGTGGAAGAAAGATAATGTGTGGGAGAGAGAATGAATGGGAATTAAATACAACTATATGAGTAATATGAGTAATTAAATAGGGATAAAATAGGACATCAATACACAAAATTTGAGACAACCTATAAGTGTCTCTTATAATAAAGAACATGATATACTTTACAATAGTCTCTTATAATAAGGAACATAGGGAGTAATGTATAAGAAAATATAATTAATAAGTAATTAACATGTGTATATATATTTTGAGGTTACTGGAGGGGAAAAGGATGGGAAAGGCAGCAAAAACCTGAAAGATTGTTATATATAAGCACCAGCATCTGAGGCATATTTTGTAAGATGGTTGATGTTTATTAATGGTGGGCATGGGAGGGGACTAAGGGGAGTACTATCTTTATTTTGAGAAAATGATTCGGATATGTTTTGAGAAATTTCACAGAAGGGCCGACAGTGAAGGAATGAGGAAGAAAAGTGTGTTTTTTGTTTTTCACCTCTAATAGGAGTAATTATTACTCCAACGACTATAATTTTTCATCTCAGAAGCGAAGGGCATTAGCTTATCCGAAAACCATGGTTTGGCCGGCCAAAACCAAGGTTTTGGCTAAAACCATAGTTTTCTAAAAAAATAGAGTGTTTGGCAACCACTGAATTCAAATCTTTGTTAGCCCAGAAACACTTTTGGAGCAATTGCCAAACACCTCCTAAAGGCAACAAGCCAGTCATCTAATTAGAAACTAACAAATTTGCCTGATTTAGCTGTTTATTTTCTGGTTCCATTTATAAATTACTTTTAACATGTTTTACATAGATAAAAAAATCATAAATTTCATTAACTCATTTAAAATTCAAAAACTTTCCAATCTTATCCCTGTAAACACCCAATTTTATCTGGGCCCCACAAGAAATATTAAATGTAAATGAGACAAATAAAAGATTAATAAAATATTGATGCCCTCCTTGATTCTTTCTTATAAGCTAAACTTGAGAAATCCACTGTATGTCAAATCAAAAAAAAAAATTAAATAAGAATATTCCTCTTATAATAGGTGACAATAAAGTAAAAGATAAAAATTAAAAGCCAATTGACTTCCAAATTAAGAAATACGAGGTGGAGTCTTAAAAAAAATAAGAAAATTCACAAATCAAAATCAAAATTTTTCATTTAAGATGATTAACTTCTCAATTTAGAAATTTCTTTTGGAGTCATAATTATGAAAATTTTAAAAAAACAAAAATAAAAATAAAAAATCATTATTTGATGATGATTTGGTGCTTAAATAAGAAGTTATATTATGAGTCATAATGAGAAAAATTAAAAAAACGAAATTTAAAGAAAAATTGCAAAACTCTAGGTGGAGCCTATAAATAGGAGAGTGGAGGAAGACACTCAAAACTTTTTAGTGAAAAAGGAGGCAAGCCAATTGATAAGTGGAGCATCACATATGGACTTTCACTCTTATCTACTATGTTTAACTTGAATTTCATGATAAAGTGTTTTTGGGTATTCTTTCTCTCTTTTTTTGAAAGCGTTTCTTTTTTTAAATCCATACCATTTGAGATTTTTAGAACTTCTACAAGTATCTAGATTCATTGGTAAACCGTATGAGACTATGGGAGTCTCTGCAGAAATACCGATATGGTTGTGCAAATTTTCTTCTTGAAATAAAAAGAAAGAAAATAATTTTGGCCCCATATTTATAAATAAATAATAAAATAAAAAGTATTTTTTAATATGTGTATATATAACCTCAAAATGATTTTCAAAGCCGTGTGATGTTTTTTGAATCTCCATAAGCTCAAACGATTATTCTCCCTGTGAGGTTATGGGAACTTCCGTAAGAAGGGTAATCCAAAATTTCTTTCAAAAAATATTTTCTAAATAAAAAATAAAAATTATTTATCTATTAAAAAATACCTTTTAATTGAATAAATATTTTCTAAAAAGATAATAACCAAGTGACATGCATTTTTACCCCTGAATTATGTGGGTTTTGATTCCTAAAAGGTACATAAGCCTTAGGTTTTTATCTTAGGTCAAGTCCAACTTTGTAAATAATTCTTTTTCCTTTTTGTAAATAAAAAGTTTTCTTTGTTTCTATCTTTATTTTTTTAGGGTAATTGAAACATAATGAAAAGGTCATATTAATTTTAAATAGTTGACTTAAAGTAAATGTTCTCTTGAACAGGTGTTGTGAGGTGCCTAACACCTTCCCCATACACAATTGACTCTCGAACTCTATCCGGTTTTTGTAAATCACATTTTTTTATGTTTTCAAAATTAACCTTTTAAAATTTTGATAACGACTCCTCTTTCTCTTTCCCTCTTTACGAGATGACCAGTATCCAAGCATGACAATCCCTATTTAATATATATTATACCTCATGTAAATAAACTCAACACAATAATAAATAAAGGGTAAAATTATATATTTATACAAAAAAAAATTTTAGTGCCTTATAAATAGAATAAAAATATCTTTTTTCTGTCCTATGATGAATAGGACTGGAGGAGTATGATATTAAGGGAAATTAATGTTTATAATATGATGACATGAACCAACAAGATCATGCATGCACCTGCCGACGCGGAAAAGAGAAAGATCGTGTTTCCCATCATCTTGCGACCAGCTATATGTCTCACATCATCAATAACTTACCCCGTGCATAAAAAGCCATATTGTGATGAATACGAAGGCTCAAGATTGTCTATTTGGCATTCACCCCCCAGGATTTATTTTTCCACTTAAATTTGTGGACATTACATTTACCACGTGAGTCATATGAATTACAAATTTGTTTTTTTTTTTGCCAGCCATATGAATTACAAATTTATACCTTTAAAATTGGGGCATCTCATTTATACTGGGAGATTGAAAATATGAGAAATCATTCCCTTATTTCTATATTTTCTTTTCTGTTACTTGGTTTATTGTATAAGTTGGAAACTTTAAAGCACTTTTAAATTTTCTAGGTGCTTGTTTTTAGAGATGCTTAATATAAACATTTATAAATACTTTCATGTATAAAATTTTTCTTACATACTTATCTCATATCTATAAATCACGATTAAAAAATTAGATAAAATTTCTTTCACATATGGGTGGTTAATACAGGCTAACCCGTAGGTTGCGGGTTGGCCCGGAGTGAGTTAGGATTAAGTGGTGCGAGTTAAAAAGGCCCCATATAATGACGGGTTGACTTTTAGCCAACTTTAACCCACTGCCCGCCAACTATTATTTTCTTCTTTTTTTTTATTTTTTCATTTTAAAAATATTTTTCCTTATACAATATAAAGAAAATATAATGAAATTTTTATCTTTCCTTCAAATACTTAATTGAAAATACCAAATAAATGATATAGGTTTTTTTTTTCAGATAGGATATA